TCATTTATTTTATTAAATGTTTTAAAGACTTAAGTTGCCTATTTTATGGCGAGTTGAATATATTATTTTATTCAGAGTTTTTCATTTGAGTCAAAACTTTGTATTTCAGTTTCATGAATTTTATTAACTTTTTAAGCTTTGTATGCTTAAATAAGTTTTCCGCTTGTAGTCAGCCAGGATGAGGGTTCACTTGGAGACCAGCAATGGTTCTCGAGTGCCGCTCACGTCCAGGGTGTAGGCTCGGGTCGTGACACATACATTCCCTAATCATGATGAAATTGCAAGTGGTTGAGTATATACTCACTCTGTCTTATATTAATTGATCAAGTATTCACGTAGAAGGTTGAAGAAAAAATAAACTTATTTATTTTGGGCTTTAAAATTAATAGTTTTATTGGTCAGTTCGATTCTTTTGAAATTGTTCCTAGAAGAATATGTAATAAAGATAAGATACAAATTTATTTTATAGCAAGAGTAATTAGTCGTTATTATTTCAAGATCAATTTATTTTTCGTATGGATGAAGAATTTTGTAATTTTTTTTTTAAAAAAAGTTTGTTATTCTTTTCTCTAAAATCTTTGTTTCTCCTCCAAATTGCAGTGGTATACTAATTGTGTCTAATAAAAGCCAAATTATTGTAACAACCAGTCAGTTATTTATAGTAATGATAAAGTTTCATAAAAGACTCTTAGCTTTACTCAATGAAACTGGAATAGTGGTCATAAAAGGCTCAATGTGATTCATGATTTAAAGTCATCTTTTTTTGAAAAAAAAAGATATCTTTTTTATTTTTAGAATAAATGCACTTAACCATAAGTATAACATCTTTGACCAAGTTTTTTAGAGACCAAAAATATTTAATTTTTCCCCATTAGAGTCCAATTCTATGATAATGAATACATATATAATTCGTGTGATTCCATAAATCAGATTTAAAGAGGATTAAATATACATAGAATTTCACTACTAAAAAACTGCCAAAAAATGACGGCCAAAATCGACGGACTACATCATTTTTTTGGTCAAAATCGTCGGAAAAGCGACGCAGTCACTTCCGTCGCTTTTTGGCTCGACGCTTTTCAAAAAGCAATGGACAGCGTCGCTAAAAAGCGACGAACTGTGTCATTTTTCTATTTTTTATTTTTAGAAATTATTTTTAACAAAAGCGACCCGTCGCTTTTATTTAATTTTCATTTTTTTTTAATTTCCAAAAAGCGACGCAGTCCGTCGTTTTCTAAAAAATTTATTTTTGAAAATCCCAGAAAAGCGACAGACTATAGGACCCTATCCGTCGCTTTTCTGGAAATTATTTATTTGAAAAATCCAGAAAAGCGACGGACTAAAGGACACTGTCCGTCGCTTTTCTGGGTTTTAAAAAAAAATAAAACCCAGAAAAGCGACGAACTAAACCACGTTGTCCGTCATTTTTTCTGCAATTTTTCTGCTATCCACCTGCAAATGCAATTCAATTCAATTTAGCCCAATCAAAAACACAACATTATACACAAGCTACACAAAACATAAAACAACAAACTTAAATTAACATTCAAAAGTATCTAAATCACAATTTAAAGACTTTAGTCTTTCAAAATTCGTTTCAAAGTTTCAAAAAGTTCATAAATTAAAAGAGACCTAAACTAGGGAGTGGGATCTACATAATAATCCTTATCACTGTCGTCGTCGGTGTCCTCGGGAGCCGAAGTAGTAGGTCGACGAGTGAGGTTCATCACTTGTTCTTTAATTTGCTGAACGGTCTCACTCATGCTTTGTTGTTCAG